ACCCAGCACCACTCATCAAGCTACACTGTGGCAGCATCCCACATAAAATAGAGGAAGATTAGCAGAGATGCTAGCTCAGTGACAATTTTCCTCAAGCAAAAAGAGGTAGATTGGCAACAGATGTTAGCTCAGGGCCAGTCTTCCTCATAAAGGAAAAAAAGAAGATGTGTATATACAACAGAATACTACTCAGCCATAAAAAAGGACAAAATCATCCCGTTTGCAACAACATGCATAGACCCTGAGGGTAAGATGTTAAGCAAAATAAGCCAGAAAGAGAAAGACAAACACCATACAATTTCACTCGTATGTGGAAGATAAGCAAACACATGGATAAAGAGAAGAGATTAGTGGTTACCAGAGGGGAAGGGTGTGGGGGGTGGGCAACAGTGGTAAAGGGGCACAAATGTATGTTGACGGATAAAAATTAAACTACTGGTGGTGACCACGATGCAGTCTATACAGAAACTGATATATAATAATGTACACCTGAAAATACACAATGTTATAAGCCAATACGACCTCAATAAAATAACTGAGAAAAAAAAAAGTATTGAACTCAAACTGCTAATATTTTTAGTTGACTTTTTCTACCATTTTTTAAATTTCCATTTCTACTTTTAATATAGGTGTGCCTTATTTTACTGAGCTTCATAAATACTCTGTCTTTTACAAGACCCTCCACCAGCGAAAAGAATACAACTTGCTGAAAGCTCAGATGATAGTTAGCAATTTTTAACTATAAGGTATTTTTTAATTAAGGTATACACGTTCTTTAGACATAATGCTATTGCACACTTAATAGATAACAGTATACAGTAAACATAAGTTTTATATGTACTGGGAAACCAAAAAATTTGTGTGACTCCTTTTATTGTAATATTTGCTTTATTGTGGTAGTCTGGAACTGAATCTACAGTATTTCTGAGGTATGCCTGTATTCCTTTCCTCTAATTATTTTAGGCTTGCTGTTTTCCTTTTCCTAGTTTCTACTACTTTTTGCTAATATTAATACATTAACACTGTATATTTATCCAAGTAGTGCTTTAGCTAGCCCCAATATTTTCACTAACATTACTTTCACTAACATTCGCATTTCAACTTTGTATATTTCCTCTTCATCACATGAATTATTTAAAAGCGCTTTTTCACTCTTTTGAGTATAATGTAATTTAGACACGGAATTTATTTTGTGTACCTCAACACTGTAGTCAGATGACAAAGTCAGGCATTCCTTGATGACATATTTCAAGATTTTTTTTTTTTTTTTTTTTTGGTGAGGAAGATTGGCCCCAAGCTAACATCTACGCCAATCTTCCTCTATTTTGTATGTTGATGACACCACAGCACAGCTTGATGAACGGGCGTAGGTCCATGCCTGGGATCTGAAACTGTGAAACCCGGGCCACGAAAGTGGAGCATGCAAAGTTAACCACTATGCCACCAGTCTGGCCCCTCAAGATCTTCTTTTAAACCTCAGTATTCTGCAGTTGTACCAAACTACTAATAGCTATGTAATTATTTTCACTTATCTTGCTCACTTCTGAGAACAAACTCTGGATATGAGTTAATGTGTCTGGAAATTTCTCCAAAATTATCTATTTAAAAACTCTCTGTCTTCTATTCCTTGCGATTTCTTCCCCTAGCATATTCTGGAACCCTGCAATCCATACAAAAATCACTCAACGGCTCTTTCATATTCATTTATTTCTCTAGGCTACATTCTAAATGAATGCCTAATGAATGCCAATTCCTAAATTCTCCCTTTGATGGCATGTAATGCAGCTATTTCTTCCCTCAGTAAAACTAATTTACTAAGTTTGCCCCTTTCTGTATTAGACAGAATTTCTTCTTTCATTTCTCTAACATGTTAAATATGCTTATTTATTTCTTTTACTATTCATCCCTCACAATCTAATGTTTTTCCAATTACTTCTGTTCATCCTGGTCATTCCACTGTAGAACTAGATCATACAATGTGAGCTTAGAACTTACTGCTCTAAAATAATATTGGCGATTTCTACAGACCCAGTCACCAACCAAGTAAGCAGAAATTCCAATTCAGGTCCTGGTTATAAGAACTATATCTGTATTCTCCCTTCCCTGAGCCCTTGATTTCCCATAATTGAGGTTTCAGTATAAGTTATTATTCAAACTAGGACCCTCTTGAGTATTAAAGGAATGTCTGTTTATAACTACACGGATGATAAGCATAAAGTAGGAGTATCAAGGGTAACCTGAGATATATGATCACCCTAACATAAGCCTTAGCCTATGCAGCAGTTATCAGTGGCTTTCTTCAGTCTCCTTTACAAGTATGGAGACTCAGGTTAGGCTCTGGCTTCATGTAATAAGCCTGACTCTATTTCTCTTTTCTTCATGAAACACTCAGTCCTTTTAACACACAAAAGCCAAACTCTTAGCTACAAGTATCTGCTTCTCCATCCTAAGCTGAATCCCGTTCATCACTTCGTAGTTTTTCTTCTACGTAAACCACAGCAACATTTAGTTTCTAAACTCAGTAATTTCTGTGTTCTCTTTTTAATATTTTATCTATCATTATTTTATGTTTGAAGTTAGGAAATAACAGTGAAATGAGTGTGCCACTTTCAACAGAAGACCCTTACCAAATTTTTAAACATGCATTCCCTTTGCTCAACAACCACTTTCAGGAACTTATGTTACAAAAATACTTCCATGTGTACATTTCAGAAGGATATATAAGGATATTGAAAGAAGTACTATTTTTAATAGAATAAAACTATTCTTAAATGGTTATCTTAAATACGCTTATTTCTTTTTTTAAGAATAAAGCAGAGCAGGTAAAAATTGGTTAAATAAATAAATCATGGCACAGCCATGTTAGGGAATAGTATACAAATATTAAAAACTATAAGGCAAATTCACAGAAAAGTGCCCACAACAGAATTTTGAGTGAAAAAAAATTACACAACTTTGTAGATTAATTTGAATATAAATAGGAAGGAAAAATAAAATATGAATAATAAAAAATCACACCAAAGTAAAAAATGTTTGGGGCAGATTTCAAAAGAGCAATAGTGAGAAAAAGTTGAAAAGGTGGTTAAAACCAAATTATGGAAAGCACTAGGGTCCTGACTCCTAATCTTTACCTTTCATAAAATGTGGATGCAAAAGAACTTAAGCAGAAAGTAATAGTATAAAGCAGTGTCATGGAAGCGTAGTGTAGATTAAAAATATAGAACACAGCAGATGAAAAAAAAACTTATACTAGTCATTATTTTGTTTCAAATATAGATGACTAGGTTTTGTTCATATTAAAAATTGAATATTAAAGATTTTGTTCATATTAAATAAAAGCTAGTATTGAGATTTAATACAATATGCATTAAAATTATCTTTACATACAGAAATATCTTATAAAATACAGTTTTACATGAAAAAATGAAAGCAAAATACTGAAATGAAATTTCAAAATTTTTACATAAACTTCCTTCATTTTTCTGCTTGTATTTCCACTTAAAGGTGGGAAGCAATAAAGTAGATCTCAAAAGTCAACTTCTGTACCTTGTTAACAATTTTTCTATTAAAATGTAATAAAGAAACTGTCAAGGGGCCAGTCCCGTGACATACTGGTTAAGTTTGGTGCACTCTGCTTTGGCAGCCTGGGTTTACAGTTTTGGATCCCAGGCACGGACCTATACCACTTGTCAGCCATGCTGAGGCAGCGACCCACATACAAAGTGGAGGAAGACTGGCACAAATGTTAGCTCAGGACCAATCTTCTTCAGGGGGAAAAAACAAGAAACTGTCAAGCTTAATGCTAAAGGCCACTTAATTTTAAATTACACTTTTGCAATTTGTAGGTTGTCCATTACTTTGGATAACTGGGAATTCAATATTTCTTTTACCAGTTAGCGTCATCTCACTACTCCACCTCCCTCCCTTCCCACGCAAATTACAAGACCCTTCAATATATCTTGTAACATACATAAAAAGCATTAACGTTATACTCCCTTAAGGAATTCAAAAGGAAATACAAATGAAAAATAGCAAGTATACTAATGAAAAGTTGCCTGATTTTAGTCCTAAAAATAAATCTATTTCATAAATTACCTAAATTTCAAGCTTAAATCGAAAATGAAGTATCAAAAATGAGCAAAGGAATATCAAATAAAAAAATTTAACATATTATCATTAGTGAGCAAAGAAATGAACATTAAAATAATGAATTTTCACCTATGTTATCAAATAATTCTTAAATATAAAACAACTAATTGTTAGCTACATTTCTGGTGGAAGATAAACTAGCCTAATTTTTTGAAGAATAAAATGGTATTTATATATCACATAGTTAAGAAATTCCCTTAAACTAAATAATTTCACCTCTAGTATTCTTAAACGAAAAAAGATGTATCAATGTAAACATAAATAATGAATAAACTTTATACTAGTGAAAAACCATAAAGACGTACTAAAAGAACGGTAAAATAATTATGATTTACCCTTACAATGAATTAGTAAGAAGCCAATAAAAATGTGCTATTGCAGAATATTTAATGATATTTGTTGAGTCAATGAGAAAAGAGAAAAGAGAGTAAGGTTATAAAAAATTGTATACACACACAAAATAACCATGAAATATTAATTGTGGTTATTCTTAATCCACTACTTGAAATGCTTTTTTATACCCTCTCTCCTCTCAAATATTCTTCAGTACATATATGGTACTTATAAAGTCAGATTCTAAAAAAAAAATTAATACGGCAATAAAAATTCTATGCAGCTCCTATTACATGCAAGTCATTTTACTCAGCCACAATGTAACCTGAAGTGTACCTTACTATTAAACAAAATGCCTTTCCTGATACTCTTTACAAAACAATCAAAGAAAAACCTGTAAATTTCTTGATTACATAACCAACAAGAGTACATAAAATGTGAATGTATACGCTAACAGGTTCCAGACAGATTATTGACTGTATTGTTTTATAAATAAAATTAAAACACTGAAAATTTACCTGCATTGCACTTTTCCCCAGTTTCACCACTTCAAATAATGTGACAGGCTCCCCTTCCCCATTCTGCTGAGGGTGCCCATTAGCTCTTCCACGGCCTGTCCCTCTAACTCCAGCTTCAATTCTACTCTTCTCTCCTGGAGATTTTCGAGGTTTCTTATTTGTAGACTGAATAAAAAGATGAGGAAAAATTTAATTAAATGCAGGCATATTATGCTTTATGCAGAATGATCTCAAATTATGTTTGATCCTGTGAAAGGCAGCTAGCACTACTACAGATAAGAGACATAATCCCTGACCAAAGGAAGTTTTACAACTTGTTTTCAGTGGTTAAAAAAAAAGCGCAAACAGCAAAGCAGAAGTTAATTTACATGAGGCATGAAAACAAAGTAAAAAAAAAACTTCAGAATTTTGTAAAACAATAATGCCAATACTGAACACTTTAACCACGCTCCCTCTTGACATTTCCTTCCTCATACTTTCCTCAATACTCTCCTACTTCCTCAGAAATCTTACTTGGAAATGCTATATATTTAATTTCTCCCTCTACTAAAGTGCTCAAGTATTTCTCATCCAGTCATGCAACAAATATACACTGGACATATTTGGAACCATCCTAGGTACTAGAAATACAGCAATAAACAAAACAAACACTCTTACCTTGATGGAGTTTAGTCTTCAATTAACATCTCACCCCATGTCCCCAATTTTTTAAAAAAGTGAACAGTGGCTACCATCTTATCTATGCTTCACCTTTAGAGTGAAAGGTAACTTGATAGAACTGCTTGTAGTTGCTGTTATTATTCCCATAAATTTCATTCATATATAAACTCATCATAGTTGCTGCTTCACCAAACTCAGCAATGCAATTAATGTTGCTGAATGTAATAACATTTCTTGAAACTCTCTCAACAGGCCATGTGATTTCTTCCTTTCCTTTCAGGTATCTTTTCCCTCCCTGTACTCCTTACCTGCTAGCGTTACCTTAGTTCTCTCCTGAGCATCTTTCCTTCTTAATCTTTATATTCTCTTTGAGAGACTTAATTCACTCTCATAATAGCCTGTTTCAATCATCAATTTATTGCCCCCATCTCCAAATCCACTCTTAGTTGACTTTGTCATGCTGGAGCTGGACCCTGTAAACATTTCTCTTTTGTCATCTGCTGCAGTGTTAGGTTATGTAAACAGAGGGCACCAAAGGAACACTACAAAGCACAGCATGGAGAGGCTTGTCTCCCTGCTTTACGGTATCTGCTCCCTTCATTTTCTATTTCTGTGTTCTTCATAGTACTCTTTCACTCCTTTTAGTAGTTTGGAGCCTTACAACTATTTTTGTGTGTGGATTAATACATAGTTTACTGCTTATTCTTAAATAAATTATTTTTATAACAGTTTTAGATTTACAAAAAAATTGTGAAGACAGTACAGAGAATTCCCACATGCATCACATCTAGTTACTCCTATTATTATCTTATCATTTGTATGGGACATTGTTACAATTAATCAACCAAAATTGATATATTAACAAAGTTCATATTTAATTCAGATTTTCTTAGTTTTTGCCTAATGATCTTTTTCTCTTCCAGGACTCCATCGAGATTACCTTATTACATTTACATCACGTTTCCCTAAGCTCCTCTTGGCTGTGACAGTTTTTCAGGTTTCCCTGGTTTATGGTGACTTTGATAGTTTTGAGGAATAGTTGTCAGGTATTTTGTACAACATTCCTCAACTGGGGTCTGTCTGATGGTTTTCTCAAGAGTAGACTGGGATTACAGGTTTCAGAAGGACGATATGATAAAGTGTCATTTTTATCATCTCATATCAAGGGTATGTGTTATCACGTTAACATGATTAATCACTGTTAATATTGACCTTAATCAGCTGGCTGAGGTAGTGTTTGCCAGATTTCTCCACTGTAAAGTTACTTTTCCTCCCCTTTCCAAGCGGTATCCTCTGGAAGAAAGTGACTACGTGCATCCCATGTTCAAGGGGTGGGGAGTTATGCTCCACCTCTTTGAAGGGTGAGCATTTACACATAGTAATGGGAATTCTTCAGTATGGGAGATTTGTCTATTCTTACCTACTCATTCATTTATACTAATGTGGGCTTATCGACATTTATCTTACACTTTCAATTGTAATTCAACATTATTGTATTTTGTTGTTCAACTTATTTCACCTTTGGCCATTGGGAGATCTTTCAGCAGGCTCCTGTGTCCATTTGACATATTCCCATCAGAGAGAGAAGGAGAGAGTGTGTGTTATGTTTAGCACTTGGTTACTTTCTGGCAGCATAACATTTAATCTAGACTCATCTTGCATATTCCCTTCTCCAATTTTAGAATCAGCCAATACTCCAAGGAGCCTCGGTTCCTTTTACTGGAGAATGATATTAGAGATAAAGATCTGGGGACTAGGTCTTGCTCCTCGATACTGAGTGTCCTTGCTTCTAGGCCCTGAAGCAAACAAAGAAATATATGTTCCGTATGTATACATCTAACGATAAATATTTCTGTATGTAATGATCTGTTATCTATATTAAGCTCAACATAAATTCATACTGGTATCTCCAACTTTAATCCATTCCCACATGGACAACTCTTCCCTTTCCTTATCAATAAACTCCCATTCCAACAGTGAGAAACTTGGCTCCCACTAGTATACACGCATGGCAGTATTAGAATTGTTAAACCATACCCCATAGAAAACAACTTTATGAACTAGATTAGAGTGCTTATATATACTATGTACTGTTTTGTTGACTTTGGTCTTACAGACTCATTTCCAAAGTTACTTAAGTGACCAACTCCTCCTCCACTCCCTTCAGTGACACTGTTTCAAACACTTGCTTAGATTGCTGTATTTCATTCTACATTTCACTCTGCTATCCCCCAACCTCCTAAACGAATTTTTAAAAATCTGTATTCATGAAATTCACTCTTTTTCTGTAAAATTGGATGGGTTTTGACAAATGCATAGTGGCATGTATGCACAGTTACAGTATCACAGAGAAGCGTTTCACCACCTTAAAAAAAATCCACCTTAAAAAAAATCCTGTTTTTCACCCAATCAACCCTGCTACTTACCCCTGGCAAACACTAAATTTTTTATCATCACTACATAGTTTTGTCTTTTACAGTCATATAATGGGAATCATAGAGTATGTAGCCTCTTCAGACTGGCATCTTTTACTTTAACAACATGTATTTAAGATTCATCCATGTCGTTTAGATGCTGAATAGCTAATTTCTTTTTATTTCTAAATAACATCCTATTGTACGGATGTACCACATTTTGTCATCTATCTATCTAATGATGCACATCTTGGTCACCATTTTTGGCAATTAGGAATAAAGCTGCTATATGCATTCACATGTAGGGTTTTGTGTGGACATAATTTTCAAATCAATTGTGTACACCTAGGAGGATGATTACTGGATCATATGGTAAAACTATGTTTAGCTTTGTATGAAACTGCCAAACTGTCTTCCAAAGTGGCTGTACTATTTTGCATTCCCACCAGCAATGAATGAGAGTTCCTGTTACTTTGCATCCTTACCAGAAAATTGGTAGTGTCAGGTTTTTGGATTTCAGCCAGTCTAATAGGTATATAGTGGTATCTCATTGTTGTCTTAATTTGCAATTCCTGGATGAGAATTTATTAAGGACTTTTTAATAATTAATAATTCTTCACACTAAGCTTTTCTGTTCAAATTACTGGCAAGGATTTCGTCTCCTGACTAGACCCTGACTGATTCTCTATACTTGCACTATCCAAGCACTTGAGCACTTGAAATTCAGCTACTCAAAACTGAGATGTGCGGTAAGTGTAAAACATCCACAAGATTGTGAAGATTTATTATGAAAAATAGCACATAAAATATCTCATTAGGGGCCAGCCCCGTGGCCGAGTGGTTAAGTTTGTGCGCTCCGCTTTGGCAGCCTAGAGTTTCACCAGTTCAAATCCTAGGCATAGACGTGGCACTGCTCATCAAGCCATGCTGAGGCAGCATCCCACATGCCACAACTAGAAGGACCCACAACTAAAAATACACAACTATGTACTGGGGGGCTTTAGGGAGAAAGAGGAAAAATTTAAAAAAAAAATCTCGTTAATAATTTTATGCTGATTACATGATGAAATGACAATATTGTAGATATATTAGGTTAAATAAATTATATTATTAAAGTTAATTTCCCCCATTTCTTGTAACTTACTAGAAAACACTAAATTGCAGATGTGCCTCACATTATATTTCCATTGACAATGCCACTCTATCCTAATACAACAACCACAATAATCCTTATAAATACAAACCTAATCCCATCACTTCCTTGTTTATTTAATCTCTGATCCTCACAATCATCAAGTTAAAGTTCAAACTCCTCAGCATGGCATGTAAGGCTATCAATTACAATCCATTCAGTTATCTACAACACCAGAGTCCTCTTTATAGGCTACAATCATGCCATATTGATCAATTTAAAGTTGTCTGAAAACATTATTTCACATATTCATCTTGTTTATAGTTCGACTCTACATCCTGTCTCCTCCTAACAAGTCTTGTTTCTGTGCTCACACTATTAAGAATAATAGGTTATCTTCTCAGTTCTGTGCTTGCACGTGTGTGTGTATATGAGCACATACACGTGTTCGTATGAAGAGAGGAGAGGGAAAATGTTACTTTTCTTTACTGAACAGGTAATGCATTCACATGGCTCAAAACTCAAAAGGTGATTAAAGTTATACAATGGAAACTTGCCCACCTCTGTCATCAAGCCACAATCTTCTGTCCTAAGAGGCAATCAACATCATTCATTCCTGAAATGTCCTTCCAGAGACATTTAAACATATAAAAAATGCATATGAAAGAAATTCAAGAAGATATAAATAAATGGAAACTAATTCCATGTTCATGAATTGGAAGACTTAACATCATTAAGATGTCAATACTACCCAAAGTGATCTACAGGTTCAATGCAATCCCTATCAAAATTCCAATGACCTTTTTTGCAGAAACAGAAAAAACGATTCTAAAATTCACAGGGAATCTCAAACGACCCCAAAAAGCCAAAACAATCCTGAAAAAGAACAAGGCTGGAGGACTCACACTTCTTGATTTCAAAACTTCGTATAAAGCTACAGCAATGAAAACAGTGTGGTG